GGGGGGGGGGGGGGGGGCGGCCGGAGCCCTGGGGGAGGGCAGCGAGCCCCGGTGGGGGCTCGGCTCCCCCCCCCGGCGGCCAGAGCGCCGGGGGCAGGGCGGCCGGAGCCCTGGGGGGAGGGCGGCGAGCCCCGGCTGGGGCTCGGCTCTCCCCCCCCCCGGCGGCCAGAGCGCCGCGCCGCCGCCCCCCTCCAGGTGCCGCCCCAAGCACCAGCTTGGGTGCTTGGTGCCTGGAGCCGGCCCTGCTGAGTTTACCTGTTCTGCCAGCATGGGCCCCCTTTAACCTGTTTTTTAATGTAATTTAATGTTGATAAATTCAAAGTAATGCACATTGGAAAGCATAATCCCAACTATACATATAAAATGATGGGGTCTAAATTAGCTGTTACCACTTAAGAAAGAGATCTTGGAGTCGTTGTGGAGAGTTCTCTGAAAACATCCACTCAATGTGCAGCGGCAGTCCAAAAAGCTAACAGAAGGCTGGGAATAATTAAGAAAGGGATAGATAAGACAGAAAATATCATGTTGCCTCTATATAAATCCATGGTATGCCCACATCTTGAATACTGTGTGCAGATGTGGTCGCCCCATCTCAAAAAAGATATACGGGAATTGTAAAAGGTTCAGAAAAGGGCAACAAAAATGATTAGGGGTATGGAACGGCTTCCATATGAGGAGAGATTAATAAGACTGGAACTTTAGGGCTTGGAAAAGAGACAGCTAAAGGGAGATATGATTGAGGTCTATAAAATCATGACTAGTGTAGAGAAAGTAGATAAGGAAGTGTTGTTTACTCCTTCTCATAACACAAGGACTAGGGGGTCACCAAATGAAATTGATAGGCAGCAGGTTTAAAACAAATAAAAGGAAGTATTTCTTCACACAACGCACAGTCTACCTGTGGAACTCCTTGCCAGAGGATGTTGTGAAGGCCAAGACCATAACAGGGCTCAAAAAAGAACTAGATAAATTCATGGAGGATAGGTCCATCAATGGCTATTACTTAGGATGGGCAGGGATGGTGTCCCTAGCCTGTTTGCCAGAAGCTGGGAATGGGTGATCACTTGACGATTACCTGGTCTGTTCATTCCCTCTGGGGCACCTGGCACTGGCCACTGTCAGAAGACAGGATACTGGGCTGGATGGACCCTTGATCTGACCCAGTAGGGCCGTTCTTTTGTCTTGCTGAGCCAGGCTCTTTAAACCTCCTCTAACACACACACAGGCAGGGCCACATCCAGCTGCAGATCAGCTCTGGGAAGATTCAGTTTAAGGAACTTGCTCCAGCACTCAGATGTCCACCTCCCTTGGGGTGCAGACCCAAAGATATATTATGAAATTCGCCCCCCCCCCCCAATGTGGAGAAAGGTGTGCACACTTCTTTCCCCCACAGTTAGAAATTACAGAACCTGGGTTTAATAATAAACAAAATATATTTTATTAACTATAAAAGGTAGCTTTTAAGTGGTAAAAGAGATAACAAACAGAACAAAGCAGATTACTAAGCAAATGAAATCAAACACGCAAACTAAGCTAAGTATCAGAGGAGTAGCCGTGTTAGTCTGTATCCACAAAAACAGCGAGGAGTCCGGTGGCATCTTAAAGACTAACAGGTTTATTTGGGCATAAGCTTATGCCCAAATAAATCTGTTAAACTAAGCTAGTTTCGCCAAAGAAATTGGTTACAAATAGTATTTCTCACCCTAGATATTGTTGGCAAAGTTTCTGTGGTTCAGAGTTCCAGTTATATTTCTTTTCAGACTGGACCCCTGTCTCAGTCTGGACTCCCCCCTGCCTTCCCTTCAGGTGGCTTTAGCAGTCTTTCTTCTTGGACTGACAGGCGGTGGAGAGGAGGAGTCCTGTTGCCTTCCTCCCCACCCTTAAATAGGATTTCCATAAGGCGGGAATCCTTTGTTTCCCAAACTTGACCCCCCTCCCTTACAGTGGAAAATTACAAGAAGTCCCAGGTAATGTTTAGCAACAGCTGACAAGACCACCTGACACAGCGTTCATGAGTCAGTGGCCGTATGGAGGGTCCACAAGAGGGCCAAGCTTTTCACAGCCCATTGTCCTTGCTGATGGGCCATCCGCCCTGTCTGGCTTTTCCATTGTTGTACCTGAAGTGCTAGCAGTGGGCATCACCCAAAGTAGCATAGTTGAAATACAGATACATAGTCAATATTCCGAACTTCAGATACAGAAATGATACAGGCATACAAATTGGATAATTGCACTCAGTAAATCATAACCTTTCCAGTGATATCTCACAAGACCCATCTTGCATAATGTATATCTCAGTTATGTCATATTCATATCATATGCATATGTCCATAAGGAATATGGAATGGAATGTCACAGGAGGGGCTCCAGAAAGGCTCACTGCAGCTCTGCACCTGGTCACCAGCTACTGGAGCCTTAGAGCGCAGAGCTGTCTGAGACAGCAGTAACTTGAGACCCTGGGGTAGGGTCTCAGCCTTTATTAGCAGACAGGCTGCTTGTTAATCGGTAGGACAGGTTCTGTCTAAGGCCCCCCCGTCACAGGATGTAATATGTGCAAACACAGCCCAGGTACACCATCGACTCAATAGGCAGCCACAGCTAAAAACAGTGCACACTTGCTCCTAAGCATGTCCCACATCTTCAGCACTGCCCGCTAGGGATTTCTTCCCAAGTCCCAGCCCATTCTACTTGGTGGCGTGATATTGTCCCAGTGGTGGGAGCCCCAGAACTCGGGACATTCAAAGCCAGACTGGACAAAAGCAGTGGAAAACACTCCTGCCCAGGGCTGAGTGACGGGTGTGTGTGTGTGGGTGTGTGTGGGTGTGTGTCCCACGTTCATTCTAGTGGCATGGTGGCCTGCCTGGGCTTTCCCACGGCTAGTGGCAGCGAGTGATCCTATGTCTCAACACACAGAGCTCACTGCCCCGGCTTAGGCTGCAGCGGTGCCTTTCTGTTCAGCGGGTCACCCTGGGATCACGGCTGTGCTCCCCTCCCCAAAGCCTTATGCAAGGGGACAAACCCTGGGCGTGCAAGTGTCTGTTTCTTTCCTGTGATCGCCTCCTAAGCCGAGCGAGGCCACCAGCCCATCCTCTCTGCTAATAAGCTGAAGCGCGACTAAAAATAGACAGCCCTGCACAGGCTGCGTGGAAGGGTCCCCGGCGGAGGCTGCCCGGCCGCTTCTGCTGGCCATGCCCACCTCAGCCCTGCACAGGAGGCTTTGATGCAAGCCTGTTCCTCTGCAAGCCACCCAGTCAGCGCTTGCAGAGGGGCCAAAGCAAGCAAGCCCCGCTGCAGGCTGTCTGAGCAGGGGCACCTGCCTCCCCTTCTGCCAGACCTGCTCCGGGCACAGCCAGCCTGCAAAACAACCAGCCTGTCGGAATTAACGAGAGCGGCCCCTTTGCATCCTGGGGGCTGTAGTTCCGGCCTGGCTTACCCTGCCCAGGCAGGCAGCCGGCTGCAAAATACAACTCCCAGCGTGCTGTGCGAGCCGAGCTCCAGCGGGGAGGGTGGCTGTGTGCGCGTTCCTGGCGCGCGGGGGGGCACCCGGCTGGCCCACGCGTCACAGAGGCAGGGGTTCTAGCAGCGGCGCGTGGCAGGGTCCTGCATATTCCCAGGTAAAGGCTGCGCAGAGCTGGGTGCTGTGGGGTCAGGGCGTGTGCACCACGCTGCTGTGCTGGCTGTGAGTTTGCCCGGCTGGCATGGGATTTGTTTGGCAACAGCAGGTGGGGGCGAGGGGTTAGCAGGCGGACTGACTGTGCACAAGTATCAGAGGGGTAGCCGTGTTAGTCTGAATCTGTACAAAGCAACAGAGGGTCCTGTGGCACCTTTAAGACTAACCGAAGTATTGGAGCATAAGCTTTCGTGGGTGAATGCCCACTTCATCAGATGCAAGTGCACAGGAGTTTCCGATGCCCGTGAATTTCCACGGGTGGCAGCTGCTCGCTGTCAACACGAGTGGTCCAGTTAAATTTGCAAATAAGAGGGATGCCTGAGCTGTTTCCACCCGAGGACAGTTAACAGGTGATGTGTCTCAAGGCAACACCCAGGCGCTGTCCAGGAGTATGGTTTAAAGAGGTGTGTGGCTGTATTGTATGGCTGTGTGAGGATACCCTCATGCACAGGTGTGAGTATAGGTGTATAATACAACTAGTGGGTAGTTTATGAATACTGTGTGTTTGTCCATAAACACTGAAATAGGTGACACTACTCACTTTGTGTGTTCATAGATTGGCTCAGATTGTATGTAATATACATACTGATGAAAATTAGTAAAATTTCTTATTTCCCCCCCCCCCCAAAAGACTGAAAATGTATTGTGCCTTGCTACTCTTGACTTAAAAAAAAGTGGGTGTATTCCTATCTGTTACCCCCACTGTTTGGCTGTTGCATTTGTCACGGTGGTTAAGCACTGGAACAAATTGCCTAAGGAGGTTGTGGCATCTCTGTTATTGGAGGTTTTTAAGAACAGGTTAGACAAACACCTGTCCGGAATGGGTTAGTTAGTTATTACATAATCCTGCCATGAGTGCAAGGGACTGGATTAGATGACCTCTCAAGGACCCCTTCCAGTCCTATACTTCTATGATTTGTATGCACTAATGGGCTTTTAAACTCTAGTAAGAACCAATTTTCATCCATTTGCAACACTTGTTTGCTTTTTGCCAATCCGTCACTGTGGAAAGTTACCAAAGCCTTTGGGAGTTATTGCCTGTGTTTGCAGGTATGTTCTGGATTTCTCCACTTACATATACATGAGAGCTGCTAATCCCTAAATCCCAACATGATTAATGGTGTAAAGAAAGGTAGCTGGAGTTTTTTTTCCCTCTTCAATTCATATCACACAGATAATTAAATACTGCATCTATTTGACCCAGATTAGCTCTTAAATTTAGAACCCAAAATACTTTCTTTTAAAAGTTGCTAGGAGAAGCCTGCATGTGGGAAACCCAGTAGTTAAGGCGAGTAGCTTTGGGGAAAGCTGCAGTGTTTATTTGGATGGTGATGACAGACCCCAATGTGGTTGTTTATTTTAACTCCGTGCCTTTGATGTTCCAGCCTTCATAGGTTTGGAAAGGCCTTTTAAAGCAATGGCGCTGATGAAGAGCGGCTGGCTTTGGAGACAGAGTAAGTTCAGTCTGTAATTTAGCTGTGTCATGCCCAAAAGATCTCTCTTTATTTGGGAAGGGAGGGGTGCACTGAGCTGGTTTCTCCTGGCTGTGTTCTCGTTGTTGGGGGTATTGGGGGACGCATTTTTTCTTCACATGCTTTGGGTAGCTGGATGATGTGCTTATTACATGCACAGCCTGGGTCCCGAGTGCTTAAACATTTCATATTAACCCACTGGCTGCAGAACAGTGTTTTTGCCTCGAGGACTGGACTCTAAAGTGTGTAGGAACCTGATAGCAGACAATCCTGTCTCTGATGATGGAGATCTACTCAAGTATATGCTCTAGTTCAATAACAAGTTACTGGGCTCAGTGTAAGAATTACTGAGTGTAACTGGTCTGTGTTATGCAAGAGTCAGGCTAGATGGCCCCCTCTGGCCTTACAAATCTAGGCTGTCTTTCTGTTTGAGAAAACCCAGGACATGTGACTTCCAGTACTGCACTATGCTTCCTGAATAGCAGTGCCCTGGTAATGACATGAAGGCTATACCTAGCATGCCATTCTGCTCCTGTCACACCAATTCTAGTTGCTCTGGGCCTGGGAATTATTGCAACAGCACAAGGCTGTCACAAGCACAAGCTATTGGCTTTGTTGACATTACTTTCATGGTAACAATCTATGGGCCAGATTTTGTCCCCCTATTATAATATATGGGGATATATCTAGCTCATAGAGCTGGACGGGACCCCGAAAGGTCATCGAGTCCAGCCCCCTGCCTTCACTAGCAGGGCCAAGTACTGATTTTGTCCCAGATCTCCAAGTGGCCCCTTCAAGGACTGAACTCACAACTCTGGGTTTAGCAGGCCAATGCCCAAACCACTGAGCTATCCCTTGGTGAGGAATTCTTCACCCAAGTAAGTCAGTGAGACTACTCTGGCAAGTAATTCATCACCCAGGTGAGTCAAGGGTTAACAGTCTGGCCCCAGAGTAGGCTTTTCTATCCCTCCCAGCAGCGTGGTAGCTGAGTATGTGACCAATTTGCTGCGATTGCTCATTTGGGGCCGGCTTTATTTTTAAAGCTCTCACTGGGGGCCCTAATTAAAACTTTTTGGCCTTCTCTGTTTGAACTCTATTGGGCCGGATTCTCCACTGCTTTACGCTTTGTGCAGTCGCTCACCACTGGGTGTGGAACACAGCCATTCTGATCTGGCGTCCCCTTCCATTCACTTTTCCCAGGTGTCAACCACTATGTAAGGGGCAAGGCAGAGGAGAATCAGACCCCGAGTGCCCCCAATTACTCTAGGGGCTTTACATGGAGAAACAATGATGAACAGGGCCGTGCCCCAAAGAGCTTGCAGTAAATCAGACATGAGGAAGAAAGACAAAAGGGCTCAGTAGTGAACCTGACTATATACAGAAGGTATAAGGAGCCTGCTTACTCCCTGTGCATGCTGTCTACTCTACAGCACCGGGCCCTACATAGGGGCCAGAGCAACACAGCTGCTCCCCTCCTTCTCAGATGGGCAGGAAGTGGAAAGCCAAAGCTCCACCCCCCCATGATGCCATGCCAGCAGAGCTGAGCCCAGGGGTGAAAGTAACTTAAAGGACTTACCGGTACTCCGGAGTCCTTAGGAGGGGGCGGGGCCTCAACTGGAAGAGGAGGGGCCTTTAAATCCCCGGGTGCTTTAAATCAGGATTTAAACGTCCCGGGGCTGGGGTTGTGGTAGCAGCAGCTGGGAGCCCTGAGCCCTTTAAATCACCCCCAGAGCTACTAGCTACAGAGGCGGCTGAGAGCCCCGGGGGTGATTTAAAGGGCCCGGGGCTCCAGCTGCCGCTACAGCTTTAAAGGGACGGGGCTCCGTTGCAGTAGCGGCATCTGGGAGCCCTTGGCCCTTTAAATCACCGCCAGAGCCCCGCCGCCGTTACCGGTCCCCAGGGCTCCAGCAGCGGGGCTCGGATGGTGATTTAAAGGGCCCTGGAGGATAGCAGCAGTGGGAGCCCTGGGCCCTTTAAATCGACACCTGAGCCGCGCTGCTGGAGCCCCAGGGTAGCAGCGGCAGCCAGGGGCTCGGGCGGTGATTTAAAGGGCCCTGGGCTCCGGCTGCCCCTACCGCCCCGGGCCCTTTAAATCGTCCCCAGAGCCCTGCTGCCGGAGCCCTGGGGTAGAGGCGGCGGGGCTCCGGCTGCAAGTTAAAGGGCCTGGGGCGGCAGCTGAGCCCTTGGCCCTTTAAATCACCGCTGGAGACCTGCCGCTGCTACCCCAGGGCTCCGGGGACAATTTAAAGGGCCTGGGGCGGTAGCTGCTGCAGGCGCCCCAGGCCCTTTAAATCGCTGCCCGAGCCCCGCCGCCGCTTCCCCAGGGCTCCAGCAGCAGGGCTCTGGTGACAATTTATAGGGCCCGGGGCTCCAGCCGCTGCTGGGAGCTCCAGGCCCTTCAAATTGCCGCCAGGGGAAACCGATCCGCCTTGGTATGGCGCACTGGCTCTTGCCGGTACGCCGTACTGGGGTGTACCAGCTTACTTTCACCTCTGTCTGAGCCAGAATGAAGGGGGCAGTGAGTTGTGCCATCAAAAGGGCTGGGGCATCTGATTTCGCCCATGTAGCCAGGGGGAAGCAAGGACAGAAATGTGACTTTGCGGGTAAGTCTACACTTTGAGCTGGCCAGGTACTTTCCAGCTCCAGGAGATGTACGTGTGCTAGCTCTGAGCACGCTAGAAATAAAAGCAGAGCTGTGGAGAGTGAGCAGCGGGATGGCCAACCCGATCGTAATCCCGTCCGAGGTCTGCTGTTATGCACTTAGGACAGCTAGCCCCTCCCACAGCTTGTGCTGCCATGCCTACGCTGCCATTTTTAGCACAGTAGCTTGATCAGATCTAGCACAGGTATGTCTCCTCGAGCTGGAAATGACACCTCCAGCTCCCGTGTAGACATACCCTGAGAAGCACTATCCCTGCTCTGCTACGCTGCCCTTTGCCCCCAAAGGGATCAGGTGGGAGACAAATCTAAGATCCCAAGCATGCTTTCGCCATGCAGTACTTCTCCCAGCTGTCTGTATGTTTCTGTTTATCAGACTGGCCTTTGCTTTGGGCTGTTGTTTTCTGCTTTAAAGCAAGACGCAGCGGCTCAAGCTGGGTGTCTGGTCTGTGTGTCCAGCAAGACAAGCCTTTCATATGTCAAAACCTACATGGGGGAGAAGAACACCCCAAACTAAAAGGGCTTTTTAATTTAGCAACCAACGGCAGAATGAGATCTAGTGGCTGAACGCTGAAATCAGCAAAGCTCTCCTTGTTTCAGTGAGGCGCGTGTGGCGCTCAGAGGCAGTGAGAGCAAGAGGTTAGATGCTTTGCCCCATCAGCAGCCCTGCAGGAGGAACGTACTATTATCTGGACGGCAGATGTCTGTCTGGATTTTGCCCTCACCCCCTTCCTCCTGGCTATTGCAGGTTCCATTTTGCGACGCTGGAAAAGGAACTGGTTTGTCCTGTGGCTAGACGGTGGCCTTGTATATTACCAGGATGAGACTCAGCGTGACCTGGAGGGCAGGATCCACATCAAATTCAACTGCCGGGACATAAAGACTGGCCGCGAATGCAGAGGTGAGCGAATGCCTCTGGGGGTCCCATTGCACCTCACGTTTTCGACACCCTTGCTTTCGCAGTGTCTAAGATGTTGGGAGAACTGTCCTCTGGGGCTCCCAGTCATGGGTGGCAGATTTTTAGAAATTTTGGTGGTGCCCAGAACCCGCCCCCCCCCCAAACTCCGCCCCCCACCTGCCTAAGGCTCTGGGAGGGAGTTTGGGTGAGGGGAGGAGGTCTGGGGTGCAGGCCCTGGGCTGGAGATTAGGGTGCAGGAGAGATGCAGGGTCCAGGCTCTGGGATGGAGTTTGGGTGCAGGCTCTGGGCTGGGAGTGGGGGCGTAGGAGGGGGTGAGGGGTGCAGGCTCTGGGAGGGAGTTTGGGGGTGGGACGGGGTGCAGAGGGAGGGGGTGCAGGCTCTGGGAGGGAGTTTGGGGGCAGGATAGGGTGTATGGGAAGGGGGAGGGGATGCACGCTCTAGGAGGAAGTTTGGGGATAGAGAGTGGAGGGGTGAGGGCTGTGGGGCTGAGGATGAGGGGTTCATAATGCAGGAGGGGGCTCAGGGCTGGGGCAGAGGATTAGGGTGCGGGGGGATGAGGGCTCTGGCTGGGGTTGAGGGGTTTGGGGCATTGGAGAGGCTCAGGGCTAGGGCAGAAGGGCAGGGTAAGGGCAGCCTGCCCTGCCATTAGTGGATGGGGGGCGCTAGGACGCTGCGGCAGTAGTTGATGCCGGGAGCCGGCAGAGCAGAGTCAGAGTGAGCTGCAGGCTCTGGGGCCGGGGGAGGTGAGCGGGGGCAGCAATTGAGGGCTGCTGGGGGACACTCGGGGGAGGCGCGTGGGGGCGGCAGGCGGGGCCGGGGGAGAGACCCGGCCCCAAACATTGGTGGAGCCAGGCCCTGAATATTGCTGGAGCCCGGGCACCACGGGCCCATATAACTCGCCGCCCCTGCTCCCAGTGTCTGGTTTGTGCATGCTGTCTGTCTTTGTAGTGTGCTGCTAGGGTAGGGACCCTGTCTAGTATGGAGCTGAGCATTCTGGTGCTCTTTGGTAAATAATACAGCACTACTGCTTCATTTTTCCATCGATTACACTGCCCTTTACAAAAAGCGGCAAGTATCCTTGTCTTCCACTGTACAAAGGGGGAAACTGAGGCACAGACGTGCAGCGGTAAGGTCACGCTGAGTCAGTGGCAGAACCGGGATTAGCACCCAGCTCTGACTTTCAGTGCAATGCTCTGCCAGCTGGACTGTGCTGCCTTTCATGTTCACACTCAGTGTCGTGGCCTTGTTGGACTTGCTTGATTTTAAAGGAGGGATGCTGTAATAAAAATAAACTCGCCGTTTCATGGGTCAGTTCTGGGGTGCCGTCCTTGCTCTTTCGGCTCCCCGTGCCCCTGTCCTAGTTGTGACTCTCCCGACTGCACTGTGTGCTCTGGCTACGAGGTCATCCATAGGGATGCTCTGCAGATTTGTTTAGCTGGCAGTGAGTGACTTCTGCTCGCCATGTCTTATATGTGTCGCCTGCTCTCCCACCTCTAGAGGAGCAGAGCTCATTGGGGGCTTCTAAACCAAAGTGTCCTGAACAGGACGGCGGTGTGCTGCCTCCATTACCCAAACACGTTCCCCATCTCTGGAACCTCTGCCTTCCTTTGGGGTTAATCATGCATGAGCTTTCCAATGTGCTGCCCACTCCATGAGGTGGAGGTATTCAATGCGGGCAAGACTGAGTTGTCTGGGCCCCTTCTGGGAAAGGGAGAAAAGCCCCCTAATAATGACCAAAAGATACATCTACATAGGACTGCGAAGTTGTAACTTCAAAAGCACCTCACATGTCAAACTTCTGCCATTTCAGAGATGGCACAGCCCAGGCAAACCCAAGCCAATGTTCTGAACCTCGGTTCCCTGAAATTCATTTTGGTCTTGTTCCCACAATTCACAGAGAAAGCAACGGTCTCTTCTCCAAAACTCCGATTTTCACAGGTCTCCCAAGACAAGACCATTCCATGAGGGAATGTAGAGAACACCAATGATTAGGCAGTTGGAGTGACAGCTGGCTCGCTTGTTACCTTGGTGACTAAGTGAGATGCTGCTTATTGCTTGAAGTGAGGTGTTGAGCTTGTGAATGACCTGTTCCTTCTGTTGTTGATGTGGACTTATTTGGAACCTGAACTCTTGATTATAATAGACGCTACATGAATCAGAGAATGTGTCTGAATATATGTCTGAGTACTACATAATGAATACACAAGCCCAGGGCAGTGGAATATACTTTACACAAGATGTGAGCCTGTTTTTCTTTTGGGTGAAGAGGGAGATTCTCTCTCTTCCTTGGTTTGCATTTTGTTGTTGTTCTGGTGACTCAATACATGGTACTGTGTTGAGTCAGCAAGTTGCATTATCCCTCAGGCAGTTGGAACAAAGGAAATTCCTATGGCACAAAGCTCCTTTCTTGTGCTTCTAATCGCAATAACAACACGGCATTTCTATAGAGCCCTCTCTCTGAGGATCTCAAAGTGCTTGATTATGGAGAGGCAAGAGTTTTTCTTTCCTTTCCCTAGGTTAGGTTGTTGGTAGATTCCATTTTAAAGCCCAGTTTTAGATCTCGTATCACTTTTCGGCTTGGCAAATCAGTTTGGCCTGAAAATTGCCAGATTTAGTCTGAGGTTTCTGCCAAGTTTGATGAAAATATATCAAACCAGGTATGGATAACAGGTCACCAAAAAGTGGAAATTTTTACTCCCCCCCTAATTTCTCATCTCCTTGCTCATAATGGTTTGCTATTGCCCTTCCAAATTCCACAATCAGTTCTGGCCATTAACTGATAGATTTACAAAATTCCAAAAATACACATCGTCTACAGATCCACCAATATTATCCTAAATGAGTGTGATACACTTTCCCCAGCAAACTACAAACAGAGCAAGAAATGGCAGGAATAAACAGTTTATCCAAAAACTGCTGGTTGCTAAAGTATTAACCGATATTGTCCAATTAACAATAATCCTTTATTTAAAATTTGATTTTGGAGTGTTAAAGATAGCAAAAATAATGTAAAAAAAGACCCCTCAAACAACCTAAAACAAAATTTCCCAGTGTTCCACAGGTCAGAGTTAAGGTTATTGTGTTGTGATTAAATGCTTTTAAAAAAATGTGTTTGTTTATATTATATGGGGCAGTGTAGGATTAGAGATGTCTCCTTAATTGTTCCGTTCCTTGTTTTTTAAGTGCTTGGGTTATTCAAACTACTTGTTTTTGGTCATGCCAAGTCATCAGTGGGAGACGATGTATTCCTGCGTGACATTTGTTCACAGCCTTGCTCCTCGGAGGTTGGACTATATGGCCACGAGAGAACACAGGTGAGTCTGACGTTGTCATTGGATACAAAAGACAGTCACAATTGGTGATGTTTGTCTTCCTCTGGGCTCATGGCTGTACCTGCCAGGGCTCACGGTATTCTCAAGGAGCCCTGGAGCTAAGACGGCTGCCACTTCTTATCTGTGCAGTTTTGTCCCCGGCCGCACCTACGTTCCATACATCATAAACCTGAGGAGAAGGGGCCCAACAAACTAACCTTCTGCAAGTCTTTCCTTTGTGCTGCTGTTTGCCTGAACCACGCTCTATCTCTATACTTTATCTGGGATTGTTGCTGGCTTCTTTGCCATTCATCCTCCAGTGGCTAGAGCAGGGGACTGTGCCTCAGCATCCCTGGAGCCCAATTAGTCCATCACTTGCTTGCGTTCAACTCCCGTTGTGGGCATGCAACTAGCAGGAAGACCAATGAATTAAGAAGCACATTTCCTAAGGAATGCTGCTGTGTGGTCAGCGATCACGTGGGCCAACAGCTTCAGTGGTGTGATAAGATTGCCAGTAACAGACTCAGGCTGAACATCCAGCCAGATGGTTTTAAGGACCCAGCAAGAGATCAATCCGGGTGGTGCTTGCTCAGCAAGGAGGCCACGTCCCTTTGGAATTTGCCTTGATGACGACGAACTAGGAGGATGGCTAGGTGTCTGGGTTTTAGTCATGGCTCTGCCACAGGCTTCCTACGTGACCCTGGGCAAGTCACTTTCTCTCTGTGCCTCGGTTCCCCATCTGTAACAACATGATGATGATGATGTTGTCTCTGCCCCACACAGGGGTGGTGATATTTAATTCATTGATGTATGCAAGTTTGCTTTGAGAGCCTGAAATGAAAGACGCTACAGAAAGGCAAACTGTGTCCTGGGGTCGCTTCTTTCAAAACAGTGCTGTATTTCAAGGGGTCTGTAACTGTAAATAGTGTAACATCAGACTCCCTTAGGAATGGCTCAGGGAACTGGTGTAATGTAGGGTATGATAGAAAGCCTTGCAACTCTCGTTTCCTGGTTCAAACCTGTCCCAGGCTGTTAGTGAGTGAAAGCTTTTTGCTAGCCAGTGTAGACTGGAGCTGATGCGCTTAGTGGGGCAGGTATCCACATCACAGGGCTGCTTTGCTCTTCCTTTAGCAAGGAAGGAGTGGATAGGCTATGGAACCACTCCCTCATTCAAGAGATTATCTCTGGTATGACAGTGGCACCCAAACTGGGCTGGGTCTCTGCCCGTTCCCAGCTCTCGCCTGTTCCCTGGTATAACCTGTTGTAGCGGGGGAAGGATGGTGGCCTTGTGGTTAAGGCGCTGGACTGGGAACTCTGGCGATTAGGGTTCTGTTCCCAGCCCAGACTTCTCTGGCAAGTCACTTAGCCCATGCCTCAGTTGTCGCTGGGCTCTCCAGCTCAAGGAGAAGGCATGTGCAGGGACTGTTGGAAGGCAGCTGCGTGTAACTAGAGGACTCACTCTCCAGGGCTGGCAGCCAGCCCCAAAGCTGACTTAACCCTAGGGCAGAGTATCAGTAAAGGAGCAAACGAGGGTCAGTGTCTCCAGCAGAGCGTGACAGACCTTGCTGGCTGCTTGTTGCAAGCTTCCTCCTGCAGCAGTGCCCTGCCCTGCCATCGCCAGACCATCTGACTTCGCATTAACGCTCTTCCTCACTCTTTTTGTTTGCCCTTTGCCTGCCGAGGAGGAGGTCACATGGCCGAGCGGCTTCCATCCCTCCTGGGCTGGGGTTGGCTCGTCTGCAGCAATCAGGAGTCCCAGCAGGTTTCGCCTGCTGGGTAGTAGGTTGCAGCCGACCTCATGGGGAAGTGCAGCTCCACTTAAATAGGCATGGGGAACTCTCTCCTCTTGGGTTAGTCCACTCCGAGTAGTCACCTCCAGACTGGAGCTGATGCTCTGAGACCAGCATCCCAGCGCTCTGCGCCTGACCACCAGCACAAGGAGCTGCTCCTCCCTCGGCAGCGGAACGCCTCCTCGCAGTGCTGCTGTTATCCTTTGTTCTGGGGAGCGGCCGCTGTCACTTGGAACTTCCCAGCCTGCCTGCTCACCCCCAGCATAGCTGTGCTACCGGGGCTCTGGAATCAGGGTTGGAGAGCAGTGTGCATACGCAGAGGATGCCTCTGTCTGTGTTGTTTCCCTAGTTGGCAGGTCTCCCCGGTTCCCAGGCCTCCTTTCACTAGGAGGGTGGTGAAGCACTGGAATGCTTTACCTAGGGAGGTGGTGGAATCTCCTTCCTTGGAGGTTTTTAAGGCCCGGCTTGACAAAGCCCTGGCTGGGATGATTTAGTTGGGAATTGGTCCTGCTTTGAGCAGGGGGTTGGACTAGATGACCTCCTGAGGTCCCTTCCAACCCGGATATTCTATGATTCTATGAAGGGAAGCTCCCCTAGTGGCCGTGCCTTGTGAAGCCAGGTAATGTGCACTCCCATCCTGAGGGAGGGGCCCCTTAGGCAGAACTGCCAGGAAGGTGGTTCTCAACCTGCGGCCCGTGGGCCTCTTGCGGCCCAATCAGCACACACAGCTCCAGCCCATGTGACATCCTCAGGGCCATACAGGTAGTATTGGATGTGGCCCACAATGGTAAATAGGTTGAGAACCACTGACCCGGGGAGCTGGGAGAGCTCAGGCCTAGCTCTGAAGTTCTGGCCCATCCTGCATCTGGGAGCGCTGCAGCGGTTCTGGTCCCACGCCATCTGGGCAGTACCTGAACCCATGGAAACACATGCTGGGACATGCCAAGGTGCCAGCTTGACAGCCCCGAAGACGGCAGCCCGAGCTTCCCCCATGTGCCCCCTGCTGATCTGGCTCAGCCCTGATCGGACAGCCCTTGGCTTCTCTCTGCTGGAGAGGACAGAAGTTGTGTGAGTGGCTCATGCTATGGTCTGTCCTGCCCACCAGATGCTGGACTAGGACCACCAGCCTCGTTTCCCCAGAGGGCTCTTCGGCAGCCTGTGAGGGAGAATGAATTGTGTCTCCCATGTTGTTTGCTGGGAGGCAGCGTGGCCAGGAAACTGAGCTGGGACTTGGGAGAGCTGGGTTCTAGTCCCAGCTCTGCCACTCACCTGCTTAGTGACCTTGGGCAAGTCACTTTCCCGCTCTGTGCCTCAGTTTCCCCATCTGTAAAATGAGGATTATGATACTGACCCTGCTGTATAAAGTGTTTTGAGATCAATGAGTGAAAGTCATTATTATTATTGTTTATTACTTATTATTTATTATTATTAATGAGTGGGATGGGAAGGGCTAGCTGACTGGCTCTGTCCAGAAGGGCTGGGTTTCTTTCTGGGTTAGGTGTCCATCCTGTCATATTAGCCTAACTACTAGGGTCTGCCATTGTGATGCCATTACTGGCAGGCTCTCTTAGATTGCTCACCCATGGCTAGATATTTCCTGCTGCATCACTGGCTCCACCATCACCATGCATGAGATGGCAGGGCTGCCTTGGGGGGAGATGATGGCAGGGCTGGATGAAGGAGTAGGGGCCCTGTATGGACATGCCTAGGCCCCAGGCTCCTGACCTCCCAGGATGACGTGGTTAGAATCTCCGGGCACCTTTAAAATGAGAGTGGTTTTGTTTGTAGCTCCCATGGTTGCAAAGAAAACATTGAAAACAAGTCCTGTGTGTAAGTGATCAGGTGACATCTGCCTGAGTCTGTAGAGAGCCTCAGTCAATAGATCTGAGAGGGGCAAATTGCCTCAGTCATCCCTGTGACGTGTTATCTCTGAAGCCTCCTGCTGTAGCAGCCCCTGCCCCCCAATATCTGCCCGGCAGAGGCATGGGGGTGGGGCTTGCTGCCAGTCCCATGGTGGCTCTGCTGGTCTGGTGTCAAGTAAGGTTAGGATTTTGTCACGGTTATTTTTAGTAAAAGTCACGCAAAGGTCACGGGCAATAGACAAAAATTCATGGGAGCCCTGACCCGTCCGTGACTTTTACTAAAAATAATGGGGCGGGGGAGGGAGGGGGAAGAATGAGACCGGGATCTCCATGGGGGGGACTGACAGCCCCAGCCCCACTGCCACGGGGGGTACAGCCCCGGCCCCAGGCCTTCCAAAGCCATGGGGAGGGGGCTCACAGGCCTGGCTCCACCGCTGACAGCTGAAGCCAAAGTCACGGAGGTCTGGTAATGTCGCGGAATCCCTGACTTCCCTCATCTCCGTAACTAAATCGTACCCTCAGATATCAGCAAGGGCCCCACGTGCCCAGAGGGGGGGGGGTGAGCACTCCTTTCTCCAAGACAGACCCATGCCCACCTGAATAAAGGGAGGGGTGAGGCTTGCCCACAGTGGAGTGGCAATGAACCCCTGAGCACATGGCTCTTGTGTGACACCCCAAGGTCAGTAAGGTTATAGTTCAGGGGGGCGTAGCGATGTCGTGGGCGTGTGGCCGGGGGAGGCCCTTACGTGGGGCTGGGACTAGGGACTTGGAGTGCCCGGATCCTGAGGGGAAGGAGGTGGTGTGTGTGTGCGTGTGTGCGAGCATGCATGCGTGCGCACACGTTTCAGGTTGCTAGCTGCACCCCTGCCCTGACTCCTCTGACGTGCTGATGCTTTGCCTTCCAGACGTGCAGCCCCCGGAAGGGAAAAGCCGAGATTGCCTGATGACGATTGTGCTGCGAGATGGCTCCAAAGTGACCCTGTGTGCGGAGAGTGAGGACGACGCGGTGTAAGTAACTCCCGGGGGTGCCGCACGGTAGGACGGCGAGGATGCCCCCGTTTTATACCAGGCCTTTCTCTGCTGTGCTTTAACGCTTGTTCGTGGCCAATGACCAGAAACCTGCTAGAGGCATAAACGTCACTGGACTGTTGCAAGAGACACCCCCTCCTGGGAGACACAGTGTGGTTTCTATTCGGGGCCTGGGGGACAAGATCAGGCGGTTTTCATGGAGCCTGCTCCTGTACAACACAAACACGGTGAAAGGAGCATGCTCCAGCAGAGGGTTGGCAACATTGCTAAGGGACTGTTTGCTAAGCACCCCCTGCCCTCCACCCCAGTAGTATTTTTTTACTATTATTCTCATCATCATTATTATTAATAATACTAAGCAATACTCGCCTACATTCACCAGGGGTATTTCTTGCTGCTTTTTGCAGCATTCAGCAACTCCCGAGCTTGTACAGAGATGAAAAAATAACGTCCCTTGTACTAATGGACAGTTGGCAACCCTACGAGTCCAGCATGACAGACAGAATCTGGTTTGACGTGGAGGAGAAGTGGAGTTAATTGGGGAGAGGAGAATGTAGCCAGCCAGCCTCTTGGAACCCCTCCCCTCCCCAGCAATTCCCACAGGTACCTCCCAGCCCCACACCCGGAGCTGCACAGTCATAGGTATCTGCATGGCTCTCTTCCTAGGACTCCTGCCTCAGGGCCATGTAGTCCTGGTCCCACAATAGGGCAGTTCTGGGTAATTGACAGCCCTGTGGAGTGGAGGCCTCAGTCCAGACCAGTGGTTCCCAAACTGGGGGGTTCGCAAAAGGTTACAGGGGGTTCTCAGGGGGAAAATTCCCTAATGGCGGACAGAACTGTCCCTAGGGACCCGGGCAGCACGGGGCCAGCAGCCTGGAGCCCCTGGACTTCCAAGAGCTAAGCAGATCAAAGCAAGCATATCTATCACACTGAGGAGATTTAAACTTCAAAACTCCTTATAAGAAATGGAAAGGGAGGTGGATATTTTTTGCTGTTTTTAAAATTAAATAGGCAGCTAGTATTGTTTTTAAAATTATTATGAAGAACAAGTTTAAGCTTTCTTGTAACGTCCGTTGTCTGCCTGGACTGCCCGAGACCCGAATGCTTGTGTACGAGGAACTCTTTGAGTTGGCTTCTTAAATACTTTCATGCTGTTTCACATCTGATACTCTTGGATGAAACATAGGAGCCTTGTGTTATAACAGGCTTATTCAAAGAGATACAAGCTACGAAAGTGAGATCTTGGAAGAGTGTTACTGTTTTCATAATGTAATAAAAATAGTGTAATGATAAATAATAATTAATAATAAATAGTGTGTAATAAGCATGTCATAAAAACAAATTTTATATTTCCAAGATCACTGCTTTTATAATTTATTCTCAGGTAAAGGAGAAAATCCCTGGAAATATTCATTTTTAGAAGGGGGTTCGTGAGACTTGACATTTTAGTAAAAGGGGTTCACAAGTTGTTAAAGTTTGGGAACCACTGGTCCAGACTGAAGGCATCGATTAGGAGCCGCAGAAGGTCCCTAAAAGTGCCCGAAATGTGGACCCGCCTCCCGTGCTGCCCTTTTCCCCCCAAGACCCTGCCCCCGCTTGCTCCTCTCCACCCCGTCCCCACCCCATCACTCTCCCTTATGGCCGCCATGGCCCCTTGACAATTCCCCTTCTACCCACTCTCCCCTCTCTCCCCCCCCCCCGTTCCGGTGCCCCTGGCCTCAGTCCAGCACCTTTTACAATAATAATTCAAACTTACCTCCCCAGAGTGTAAAACGTTCAAGCTAAGGGTGATTGCTGGCCTCAAATTACAGTGAGGAGTGCACCATTGGATTCATTCTTGGGCCATATCTGTATCAGCCTATCTGAGTTCTTATATTGATGCCCCTCCCCAGAGGATCCGAGTGCTTCTCGTGTCACTGAGAGTCTACATGAAACACACTGGGGCCAAATTCATCTCTGGTGCAAGCACCCCAATTGACTTCAAATGATTTACACCAGGTGTGTCTCTGGCCCGTTGTGTGTGCATTTCCCCCCTCCCTCTTCCCAGGTGAAAAGGGAAGTGATTTACATAACTTTAAAGAGCATAATCAGAAGCTAGACCTCAGAACAGAGACATGCTGTGCTCACATGACCCAACTGCACCACTGGCTACGGTGCTGCCCCAGGGAATGAGCTAACAGGGAATTAAAGATTAGTGAGGCTGTCAAACAGCATTAAAGTCACGGGGACACACGCACACCCAACTAAACTGGGGTCATGCACTGTGACAACTTACAGCAAGCCGGGTGGCTTCCTGACTGTGAACCCATCGAAGGAATCTTGCTCTTACTTTCTCCCGGCTGTCTAGGGTTAAGGCGGCGTTGAATAAGACCAAATTCCATTGTGTTTGGGCGGAGGAAGCATTGTCCAGTGGTTATAGTGCTAAACAGGGACTAGGGAGTTTCCTGCTCTACCACAGACTGATAGGTGATCCTGGACAAGTCATTGTTCTTCGGTTCCCCGTCTGTACACAAGGGATAATAGCACCGCCCTAGCCCGCAAGGGTGTGGTGAGGATATCTACGTTCCAGGTTGTCAGGGTCTCAAATACTATAGTAATGAGGACCAGATAAGTACCATGGATAGATGTGGTGGCTATTAATTACTTTAACCAATTTAACTAGCCGTAAGGAATTTGATTGATCAGGCTCCCAAGGCAAGAAAAAAAACCAAACTTGGCACTGTACTTATTCACCTACTCCATACAAACAGATCTCCTTTATCGTAGTGTTTTTCACTAATTAAGGACATATTTTCCCCTCTAATCCCAGGTGTAACTCAAAGTGAGCGCAGATCCCAGTGCGGGAGCCCTAAGAACCAATCCAGATTCTGGTGGTGGAATAGTGAACTGTCCTGTAGTTATGTCTGCACGCAGTCTAGGGGTCAGTACTGTATCTATTGTAGCATGTCTGCAGATCTACGGAGATGCCCTGTGATACACAGCTGAGATTAGACTTTGTTCTTAAAATGAGGCTATAGGGTCAGAGAAGTGGTTAAGTAAAAGTGGCACCTTCCACAGCTCTGCTTCCTGTCTGCCTTTAACTTTTATCTGCTGGTGTCATTGGCATACACCAGTCTTTGCTCCTTTTAGCCCTGCAGAGGGATGCAGCTATGGGAGAGCGAACTGTGGTCTGTTTTGCCTCTCTTGTGTCAGCCTGGTTCCAGCTGCAGAATATTAATTGCAGGTGATGATGTTTGAGGCATAAAGAACCCAGTTGAGTTTTCAGCTCTGAGCAGAGTTTGTGAGACTGTCAGATAAAAAGGCCTGGCTTGGAAACTGACGCCGTTTAGATTGGCAGTCACCAATGGATAATGAATATGGAAATTCCATAATGTCACTTTAAAGGAGAAGGGGGGCCAAACTGAAACCTCTCCGATCCCAACAGCCACCTCCATGGCTAACTAACCAGAACGGTCTCGATCTTAGGAGATTCCCAGGGGCACAGGTTCTCCTCCCAGTTCCTGGTTCATTTCAGGGGCATGTGAAAGGTTCCTGGCCCCTTTATGAAAGGAAGGGCCTAGTCCAGGGGTTCTCTTGAGAAATTTGTTGGTGGTCTCAGAGTGCGGCCACCAACTCTTGCTGGTGGCCCCTCTGACAATTTTTCCTAAAATAATTAACTTTGGGAAAAACAAATAAATATGCACATCAAAATCATTGCAATTTATTTATTGCTAGCTAGTAAGTCTGCTGCTGTGAAAAGTGATATTAACAAATGTTCAAGTATCACTTTTCACAGCAGACTTACTCAGCCTCGGCAAGCCTGGGGACAAATTAAGCCCTGGAAGGGGAGGTGGATGGATAGGCAGCAGGGATGAGGGGCGGGGGAGGCGGCGGGGAGCCAGAGCCTGAAGTCTGGGGGATGGGGCCCCAGGAGGAGCTTGAAGCCCCGGGGCCATACCCCGAAGCCTGAAGCCCCATGGCCAGAGCCTGCCACCCCAGGGCTGAAGCCCAAGCCCCATCACCCCCGGGAAGGGGGTGTGATGGGTTGGATCACAGAAACCCCCTTGGGAGCTGCCACCTGATGTGCAAAGACTACCTCTACTCCTGTTTTCCCTGCCAGCTCAGGACTCCAGCACCCTGTCTTGCTGAGCCAGACACTCCAGTCTGCTCCAACACAGACCCAGGGTCTGAATCACTTGTCCCAGAGCTGCAAGTTTACCCGAAAACTGCTCACAGAAGTGTGCTTGTCTTTAGCACTCAGATGCCCAACTCCCAATGGGGTCTAATCCCAGATAAATCCGTTTTACCCTGCATAAAGTTTATGCAGAGTAAATTCATAAATTGTTCGCCCTCTATAACACTGATAGAGAGATATGCACAGTTGTTTGCTCCCCCAGGTATTAATACATACTCTCAGTAAATTACTAAATAAAAAGTGATTTTATTAAATACAGAAAATAGGATTTAAGTGGTTCCAAGTGGTAACAGGCAGAACAAAGTAAGTCACCAAGCAAAATAAAATAAAATGCGCAAATCTATGTCTAATCAAACTGAATACAGATAATCTCACCCTCAGAGATGCTTCAGTAAGTTTTTTTTCTCAGGCTGGACACCTTCCAGGCCTGGGCACAATTCTTTCCCCTGGTACAGCTCTTGTTCCAGCTCAGGTGATAGCTAGGGGATTCTTCATGATGGCTCCTCCCTCCCTTTGTTCTCTTCCACCCCTTTATATATCTTTTGCATAAGGCGGGAACCCTTTGTCCCTCTGGGTTTCCATCCCCCCTCACTGGAAAAGCACCAGGTTAAAGATGGATTCCAGTTCAGGTGACATGATCACATGTCACTGCAAGACTTCATTGCCCACTTGCCAGCACACACATATACAGGAAGACTAACAGGTAAACACAGCCATCTGCAGACAATGGTCCTGGTTAATGGGAGTCATCAAGATTCCAAACCATCATTAATGGCCCACACTTTACATAATTACAATAGGCCCTCAGAGTTATGTTTTATATTTCTAGTTTTAGATACAAGAGTGGTACATTTCTACAAATAGGATGATCATACTCAGTAGATTATGAGCTTTGTAATGATACCTTACAAGAGACCTTTTGCACGAAGCATATCCCAGTTGCATTATATTCACTTATCAAATCTTTATAAAACTATCCCAGTTACATTAAAACCATATAGACTGCACAACGTCACAGGGAGGAATTCACAGACTGCCTTCTCCTCCAGTGTTGTGTCCCAGGTGTCTCCAGAGGGGGGCAGGGACAGGGCCGAACTCCTGCTGGCAGCCCCCGCAACCAACATCAAGATGGCACATCCAGGAGCAACAGGGAGAGGGAGGGGTGGCTGCTTTGCCACCCAGTCACTGCCCAGGAGGCTGTGGCCACAAGAAAAGCCCCTGGTGGTCACAGGCGGCCACGGTGGCCGCATTTGAGAATCGCTGGCCTAGTCGCTGTGTTGTTTGCTGAGCTCCCTGACAGCAGAGCAGCGCTGAGAGATTAACCAAGGAAGAGCTTTGCCTTGATGTGGTTTTAAAATTGCTCCAGGCACGTTTTTGCTCACATGTGGTCCCATTTTGTTTACAGCGCCTGGAAGATGGCAGTGCTGGAGGCGAAAAACACCCCGGTGAGCTTTTCCTACTTCCATTTCATAGGGCTCTTCTTACAGGCTGCAAATCATGAGCTGTCTCCTTCCATCTCCCCCTCCCCCCCCCCATAGAGTCAGTCGATGGAGGAGTGTGGTGGGAGGGCTACATGCACAGAGGCATCTCGTCCCAGAGTGTGGGAAGAGGCATGACCATACCTGGAGAACTGCAGGCCGTTTTGGGCACCTCCGTACTAAAGTAGGGTGACCAGACAGCAAGTGTGAAAAATTGGGATAGAGTATGGGGGGTAATAGGATCCTATATAAGAAAAAGACCCAAAAATCGGGACTGTCCCTATAAAATCGGGACATCTGGTCACCCTAGTACTAAAGAGATACGGACCAACTGGATGGTGCTCAGAGAAGAGCAACAGAGAGGATTCGAGTCCACGAGGGGTTGATTTTTGAGCCGAGGTTAAGGTCCTGGTCCAAAGCCCATTGAAGGCAATGAAGAGTCTTTCAGTTGACTTCACTGGTCCTTGAATCAGGACCTTCTTAATACATTTTGCTCACTCTCATTACCAGTGATTTGCCCCAGCTGAGATCAGAGCCTCATTGTGCTAGGCACTGTGCAGTCACATAGGAAGAGGCAATCCCTGCTCCAAAGAGCTCATTACCTAACCAGGCAAGGCAGACAAAGGGTGGGAGGGGGAAGTGAGTCACAAGGTCACTGGCTGAGGCAGGACTAGAACCCAGGTCTCTTCTGACTGCCAGGGCAGTGCTGTGTCCACTAGATCACACTGCCTCTTGAGTTTTGCAAGGCAATGACTAAATAGGGACATCAGTCTGCAGCTGCCTAAAGGGATTAGTCTTATGGATGTAAGTGGTTATTTAGTGTAATGCACAGTTTTATAACCAGGAGGATTGGGATGAAAATAATAAGTTGGACAAAAGCCCGAGGAAATGTACCGTAGGGAGCGGCCCTGCCCCAGCAAGGGGATGGACTCGCTAACCCAATAGGCCTCCTCCATCTGGAATGTCTACGATTCTTTTGTTTCTACCCATGACGGAGCGACCGAGCCAGGCCTGTGCCGGCAGCCGGCCGCCCAACAAAGAGGAGCCTGTACCGGAGTGAATGCTGCTGCTGGGATCCTACAGATAATGAGAGAATTGTTCTGTCCAGGGACAGAGCGCAGTTCATCCCAGGCCTTGCCTCGGGCGGCTTTGCTTCTAGCACTGTAAAGATAGAGCAGGAGCCTCTTCGTCCAAATGGGGGTGTGTGTGTGTAATATGGAATAAAAGGGCATTGGATAAACTGAGGGCACTATGAGGCAAATGATGCCTGTTCAGGGACAGGAATTAGGATCATGGGAGGGGGGGTGTTGAGGGGAGCAGGGGATATGTCAAGGAAGAGGGGATTGGCTAAACTGGGTTCTAATCCAGTGGTTTTTGTTGGACTCTTTGTTGGAGCCACCTTGTGATGGACTGGTGGATGGCTGCTCCCATGTGTCTCCTTGGGGCATGGCCAGACACAGGTGTCGCCTTTGCGCCATTTGCTCTGTCCAATCCTTGACTGTCTCTGTGTTGTGGTGGTGATGCTCCTGTGCTTGTTTCTCATCTCAAATACTGTTACATCCCACTCATCAGAAGGCTACTTGCTGCTCAGGATGGTTGCGGGAGACTATTGGTTGCTTATGTGGGTGTGGGGCTGGGAGATGCGTGCTGTCGTGGTGGTTCCTATTGGCATGGGAGCAGGGATGAGAAGCTGTGCGCCCAAGCTTCTCCTACAACCGGTTTCCTTAAGAGCTGCAGGGTGGCTTTCAAGGGTCTGCTCGCTGCCTTGCCAACAGCCATTGGAGAAAATGTTTTGCGTGGGGGTTTGGGGCAGATAGTGGATGCAGGGTAATGCATCTTATCCTGTCCCCACTGCTCCTTGCCTCAGCCCATCTCCCTCTGGATTGATCAGACACCCTTCCCCCCCCCATGCTGGGATCCCCACTACCATACTGCATTTACCTTGCTAATTTCCTTGTTTGTTGGTGGAGTATTGTATAAAAGTCAAGTCAAAAATCCTACAAAGTCCAGCATACAGACTGTGGACCTCACTGATCTCACACCAGTGGTATGCAGGAGCCAATCCACTGAAGCCGGTGATGTAAAACTGGTGTAAGTGAGAGGAGAATCAGGCTTGATGTGAAGCTGTATGCAAAGTGCCAGTTTGAGTTTTGTATTATTGATTTATAAAAGAAAAGGATGTCCAGAGAGACCTTATTTTAAAAATGTGTGCAATTGGGCAGAGTTAAGGTGGAGCATCTGACCATAAAGAGAAGCAGTGGGGCCAAGTGGGTAGAGCACTGGACTTGGACTCAGGAAATCTGGGTTCTATTCCCAGCTCTGTCACTGGCCTGCTGGGTGATGCTGGGCAAGTCACTCCACTGCTCTGTGCCTCAGTTTTCCCATCTGTAAAATGGGGATAATGCTGACCTCCTGTGTAAAGTGCTTTGAGATCTATGATGAAAAGTACTATATATGAGCTAGATATTATGACTAAGGTTTTATTGCTGGATTGCTTAGTCTGTCCACCATAACATTGCACAAAATGCTTGGGTTTTTTGGGTTTTTTTTTTTTTTTTTTTGCATGGAACAAAGAAACAGAAGACTGGCTTATTTCATGCTCAGAAAGGCAGGATTTTCCATTGAGCTGGGAAGATTATAGTGAAAGGAACCCTAATTGCACTCCAGTTTCATGAGGACTCTACCATTGAAGAAAATAGTGCATCACACAGTAGCTACTGCTCGTCCAACAGAAGTCTAAGCCCTTACCTACACGTAAAGTGTAGATGCTATGGTTGTACTGAAAAACCTTCCTAGTGTAGACACAGTTTATATTGGCAAAAAAGGGCTCTTGCCAGCATGGCTTATTCTGGTTCCTTGAGCAAAATAAGCCATAAAGCTTTCATGCTGATATAACTGCATCTACACTTGGGCTTTTTGGCTGGCATAGAAATGTCTTTAAAAAAAACACCAACTCCCCCCTCCCCCTCCCCTTCACAGATGTTACTATTCTGGCAAAGAGTTTCTGGAGATGGCTAGAGAAACACATTAGGACATTGGCTTAATGGATCAAATCCATAGACACCCCTCCCCCCCCGGTAGGATAGAGTAATTGGAAGGCAAAAGTAGCGTCTCTTTGGCTGACAAGTCTTGGGGAGCTCTATGAAGAGAAAGGGTTTTTTTTAAGGTTGGTGGCTCCAGTCATCTCTTGTTTGTATTGTCTGCATCCCACAGAGTCGAGTGCCGCTGGCAAATAACATTGCCTAGCGCTGCTGGGGGAGAATAGTGCTGTTAAGAGCCTAGGGAGAGCGTAAATGCTGTCACACTGCTGGTCTGACAGCCATTCATAAAGCCAAGATTCTCCAGTGAGGAAAGGCTGCTAATTGGGGGTGGAATTAGCAGTAACTTTTTGAATTGACCTCTTCAAATGAACTTGTTAACTGGATTTATCCAGTTAAAGAAGGGAAATGGGAGGGCCTGGAGGATCCTCTTCATTGTGCGGGAGAATAAATTGGAGATGTCCCTCATAACACAATGGCTGGAGCCTGAGAGCCCTGCCTCCTGTAGCTGCTCCATAGCCGTGTTTCTTGGAGCACAGAAGATTCCCAAGGGTTCTTCTTGCTTTCTGCCATTGTACAAATTCTTTTTGAAAAAGATCAGTAGCTAAGGGAATCCTTGGGAAATGTGAATGTATACGAATGAGTGAGTCCAGAGGAAATGCAGCGTTAAGGGAACTGGCTAACAAATTTACCAGACCACTGTTGGGTGGTTTTGGTTTTTTGAAAGCCACGGGGAATTGGCAAAAGCAACTCTTCCACGAGGAACCTAGCGCGATCCTGACAATTCGCCTATCTTCTATCCCCAGGAAAATAACAAAATCTGATATTAAGAAAAGTGCTAAATACCTTGGGCCAAATCCCATGGTCCTTTCAATGGGAATTTTGACCGAATGAAAAAGGAATGAGCCTTTGGCTCCTAGGGGATAACAGAGCCAAGAGCAACAGACAGCCTGGGTGAAGTCAATAAGGCCAAGATTTCACCCATGATGCTTATAATGACTCGATCCTGCAAAGATTTAAGGAGGAACTTCCGAGATCTAATCCCGCCTCTGCTACTCACTTGTTCTGTGACCTTGGGCAAGTCCTTTCTCCTCTCTGCAGTTCAGCTTCCCCTCCTGTAAAATGGGGGTGATGACAGCTCCCTCTGAGAAAGAATTAATGTCTGTGAAGCATGTGGAAGGTGTAAAACGCTATGCTGCGTATGTGGTGAATATTGTTAGTGGGAGTTTGCAGTGTATCAGAGGGGGATCCTGGAGACCTCTGGACATGTTGTATGATCTAGACAGATCGATACTGTGGTAAAGCAGAGCCTAAACCAGGAGTAGGCAACCTATGGCATGCGTGCCAAAGGTGGCACGCGAGCTGATTTTCAGTGGCACTCACACTGCCCGGGTCCTGGCCACCGGTCTGGGGGGCTCTGCATTTTAATTTAATTTTAAATGAAGCTTCTTAAACATTTTAAAAGCCTTATTTACTTTACATACAACAATAGTTTAGTTATATATTATAGACTTATAGAAAGAGACCTTCTAAAAACGTTAACATGTATTACTGGCACGTGAAACCTTAAATTAGAGTGAATAAATGAAGACTCGGCACACCACTTCTGAAAGGTTGCCGACCCCTGGCCTAAACAATCAGCCTAAAGAGAACAGAAGAGTGAAGCCAACATGTGCCAGGGGACGCACCTCTACCCTGTTTAAGACCAATCCCAAACCCATGGAGAAGTTTGGCTACCTAGGGCATACGCAGTGCCACCATGCCACAGTTGAGGATGAGGTCACCCATCGTCTAGCCAAGACCAGCACTGCATTTGCAATGCTGTCACACCACCTATGGAACGGTAGGGATGATGAAATGATCACTAAACTAAATATCTGTCGGGAAGTCGTGCTTACAATTCTTCTGTGTGATTGTGAGACATGGACA